TTAATAATTATATTAATTAATTGATGTCTAATAATACATCCTACTTAGGGATCAATTTTATTTTTAGGATGGTATTACAAAAGTGAAGTTCAGGCATAGATAATAATTTTAATTGAATTTATTCAGTTCCCATTTGCTCATAGATCCTAAAATTTTTGTTCATTAATTGTCCTTAAAAGTACTTAATTTATGTGTGCTGAAAGGTGTACGAACCCTGTATTAGGATCTAAATTTTATCCATAATGGAAAGTATTTTTACATTATTTTTCTTTTTACATTCACCCCCTACTTTTCTATTAGTTCTAAACAAATGTTATGCAAGTCATCCAGCTCTAGGAAAATAAGGCTACAATCCAGCTCTAGGAAAATGAGGTTTGATATGTTAAGACAACCATTTGGTGTACATGACCATTGAACCAAAAATATGAATGAGTTCTGTGATTCTATTCACATTTTTTGACTGATCTGCCAGACAGAACTAGCTTCAAGGTTGATGCTGTGATGGACATTTTGAGTTTTTGCTTTTCCAGGGAAAAGAAAATAGTGAATCTTCTGAACTTGCAGTTTTACTATTTATTCTTCTTTTAGGTAATGAAAGGTTTTGATTCTTATTGGTTTGTTGTGCTTGAATAAAACTGCTTTTGAAGTTCTGGCCTCTGAATAAGTTCTGTCTTCTATTTTTTATTCTCTTTCAAAACATAAGCTATTTTTTAGAAAGGTTATTAAATCTTTGTGTTGCAGCCATATATGTTTTGGATAAAATGAGTGCGTTCTGGATTTTTGGTGAAGACACATAGGTGACGAAATTATCTTCCTTTTTTGTATTTTCTAAAGGAGCAAAACCTCTTCTCATATTCTTGACAAAGCTGTGCTCTTTTTTTATAGTGAAAATTGACCTGTATTGTGAGTTACTTCTGCTGAAAATTATTCAAAAAATATAAAAAATCCAAATAGAAAAAATTTAGATATAAAAACGAAGCTAAGAAAGGTGAAGCATTTGCGATGTTGGAAAAGCGTTGCTAAAATGGTTCACCATTGAAAAAAGCCATAATTGGCTAATATATGAACAAATGCCTAGAAATGTGCCAAACACTTTGGGGAGATTGGAAAAGAACAAAAAACAAATTTAGAAACTGCACATGATAATAATTGAAATTAAATCTTAATATGAGTTTTTAAAAATTAGATTAATTAGTCACTTCTCTGGGTAAATGCGACTGTTTTAATCATTTTTCTTTATTCATCATTCAGTTTTTACAAGTTTTTGTGAGATAATCCATTTTTCCTATCAGATTGCATATAGCAAACCAAACTTCTGTTCTTTTGATGTTGATTATAGCAAAGTTTGACTGCAGTTGGAAAACAAAAACATGTTGTTTATGAATATTTTACACACAGAACATGAAAAAATTTTATGCATACATGGAATCTCAGTTTTCAGAATTTCGGTAACTCTTTAAAACATTTCATCCTTGATATCTTCAGCAGTGGGAGGTAGCTGTGATCTTAGGAAGATCACAGATCAGCATTTGTGAACATTGAGAGGCTTCTCTGCATGAGACGTACATGGGGAATTCTTGTGTTTCAAGTTTTAAGGTTTCCGGGAGCCTCATCAATAGCACGGGCTAGTCTGCTGGCAGATGTTCTGTTTTACTATGGATTTAATTTGACGTGAGTTTTACATAAAATGTCATGTGTATAAAATGTGTACTGATCTAAGTTTTTTTTTCCCCCAAGTCTGTGTGAGTGTTTGTGCTCATGTATTTTTTTTTGCATTTTATATTATCATGTGCTTCTTCTGTATGTGTTCACTGTTTTGCAGTTGACTTTCCCCTTTTATTGCAAACTTATGCGTAGGAAAAAGGGCTAATTTTTTTATGTAACTAACCAAACTTTGCAGACAAATTAGCCCAGCATCTTAAAGGCTACCTATACGAGCTAATTTACGTGGTTGCCTTATGATCCATATCAGATCTCGTTAACATTACAGTCATTGAAGAGCAACCAATAGCTCCAAAGTAACAAAGAAATAAAAAAAGGGAGGATCTTTCTGTACAAATTGTTCTCTTTCTCAGTAACAGATGGCACCAGCAAATGAAAGCGATGGTAGTTGAATGAGCAAAATTGTATTTATTTCAGAAACAAAAGTTGTAGGCACTTACATAATGTATTTTCTATATTTATAAGGAATCACTTGCCTTCTCTCAAGGGGTACTTATGGCACTCTAGGTGGCACTTGTGATGTAACTGGTTCTATATCCAGCTGGCAAGTGGAAGATCCCGTGGGTTGAATCACAGCTAGGGCATAGCTGATTTTTTTGCATTGCATGCTCCTAATACTATGATAGCTCTATAGTTGCACTTTCCTTCGTTTTTAACCTCTAAAAAAAGTCTAATATTCCAAATTATGTATTTTTCCTTAACCAAAATGGAATAAAAATACATTTAAAAAAACTGTAATCAGAAGCTGGTGTAATATTAAAATACAGAAGAGCAGTATTCTTCACATTTTTTAAGTAATATGTAACATTTGTGATATTTAGTTATACAGTCAAAAGTCGTTAATCCGGACTCGTCGGGACTTCGGCGATCCCGGATTATAGATCATCAGTTTAAATCTCGTAAGATGGCATGCAGAAATTCTAAAATTAAAAATATGAAACCGTAATTTATGAAATAAAGAACAATTTGATCTAAAGGGTATCAAATTTACAAAAAAAAAAAAAAAAAAAAGCTTAATATTTATTTGTTTACTTTATTAAACAGTTCTTTCAATGTAAGTTGTTTACGTTGCTTCGTTTATGTGATAATATTTTCTTTTTAATTCTATAACAGAAATAATTTCTTCTTCAGTTACAAAGTTCCGCTGTTCAAGTCCTATAATTGCTGTGTTGAGAATACCGACGAACTTGTCAATCAAAATGTTCGTTTTCACTAACCTCTCGGTCAATTCTTCATGTATCCATTTTTTGCAGCAATTCCACTTTTTGTTTGATGGACACCGAAACATACTTTCATTTTGTAGTTCCTTTGGGAGCTCCAGCATCGGAAATTCTATTTGACATAATCGAAAGTTCAAGTTTACTTTTAGAAAATTGCTCTAACAGTCTGCAAAAAATAATAATCCGGATCCAGTTCGAAGATTAAGGAACAACACAATCATCAACATTAACTGAAATAGATAATTAGATAATTTTAGCTTATACTGTCCATTATACATAAAACGCGCACACGAAAACATATTTTGCGCTTGCGTACACGCATATGCGCAGTCGTAAAGGTCTTACGCGCACGCGTAAACGCCTATGCGCATGTGTCAACGCAGCGCATGCGCAGAAAGTTTTTAGCTTTGAGGTCCAGATTATAGATCATTCCGGATTATGCGTGTCCGAATTAACGACGTTTGACTGTACTAGATGCCCCTTTCTCTTGGTTAGTCCATACATAAAATTTTCTCTGGATCATTAGTTGAGAGTTTGCCCAAAGAAAAAAGAAATTCCAGAATAATAATGTTAGCATAGACCTCTGTAATAAAATAAAGACATGTACAATATTTTATTAAATTTTCTGTAATATGTTGGAAAATATAAACACTCTTCAGTAGTAAAAGCTTGATACAAATATGTATCTGCGATACATTTTCTGTAAGAAATTGTAGTGGAAATAGTGTTGGGATTCTTCCTTTTCCTAGTTTACCTATTGCTTTGTTCCATCATTCAGTTACACTTAGCTTTTGAATGGTTTTTAACCTAACTGGATTTTTCATGATGAAGCCAATACTGTGGAGAGGAAAGTGTTAAATTTCATTCTAAATGTATCACCCATTTTCCAGTGTTGCTGAAATTTGTACATTATTTTTAAAATGAACCTGCATACATTAGCATTACGATGTACTCATAATTGAAATACATGAATGATGTATTTCAGGTTTTACTGAAAATAGTACTACGAATATGTGTACTTTTTAATCTGTGTTAGAAAAAACTAAAGGTAATTCAAATTCCAAATTTTCGTGAATTTAAATTCTAATTCTGAAAGAATTTCCAATTTTTTGAATATCAGACCTTTTGAATCTAAATAAATAAGTAAAAGAAAAAAAAAAAAAAAGAGAGAGAGAGGCGGGAGATTTAAGGAATTAAAAAAAAAAAAAAAATACTTAAAGGTTTCTAAATATAGCAAAATTTGAAATCTGTATTTAATGAAAACAAAATTTAAGAATACATTAAAAAAATATATGTGCATTTATGTGATGTGAATGAAATTTAGTAAATGAAATGTATAATAAAATTATGAATCTTAAGGTTTATTTTGTCAATATAGCTTGACAAACATATCTCTCAACTAGGTTTGAGGTTTGACTAACAATCTCAGATTTCAGGTAACAGGCCAAAATTCAGCAACTCTGACCGAATTGTGATTTTAGCTTTTCAAATACAACTAAAATTGCAGTAATCATGCTTTTTTTTTTTTTTTTTTTAAGTTAATGTTTTTTGTCAGTAAAATTAAACCTTATTTTTCAAACGTTTTGAATTAAAATTTTACGCGATTTCATAGGTTAGAATTTGAATATTAAAAAGAGTGTTAAAAATTGATCTTTTAGAAATTCAAATTTATTTTTAAGCCTCTGAAGATTTAGATATCTCATCCTTAGAAGAAACAAAATTCATTTGATAATCCAGTTTGCATTTTAAGAATCAAGTCGGTCCTAGTGAACAGGCTGGCTGCATGAGAGTTTTTCCCTATGTGTAATGTGGATGTGAGACAGTTCCCCGTAGAAAACCCTCCATGAAGGCATCCCTCCCTCTAGGAAGATAACACTCGCATACTTTGCTGTAATTAAACCAAATGAAACCTAAAGATTTAGATCAATTATATATATTTTATCTCATTATATTCATTCTCTTGTTAACTGTATGCAAAAAGTAAAATTATAATTTGTTATGAAAAATCCCATAAATATTGACAGCTTATTTTAAAACAATTTTTTCTTTCTTGAATAGCAAACACACAAACCAATTTTCCCTGGAAAACTGTAAATGAAGGCATCCCTGACCTTAGGCATCTGTCCTCATGTGCTTTGAAAGTTTCAAACAACAAGCAGACAAACCTTTCTCAAATAGCAGTTTCTTGCTATGTCCTGATTCAGTTGTTTTATTTTCAGAGAAATGAAACAACGGATGAATTAATAAAGCAAAATTACTGAATTTTTTTTCAAATTATTGCTTTAATCTTCACTCATATGAAGAGCTTTCTATCTTAATGTTCTTGTAATGATCATTATGATTCCTCCATTCAATTTCAGTTTATTTCTGCTAAAACAAGTCAACAATTGTAAATGTGGAGAGGGAACCAGAAGAAATTGCTCAGTTTTCTGTCTGAAATAAAGATTATTATTACATCACTCGTTAACTTCAAATTTGTATGTTGTAGGAACAAACTTGGATTATGGAGAAATAAAAGCTCTTCTCATATTTATATGTAACTATATAAATTACGTAAAAGTTGTGAAATTCTCGTTCATTTACTTCGTACATATCCTGTCATGAAAATCTTTTTCATTACTTTTAAAACAGTGTAAATATGAAACTGTGGGTCTTTGAAAATGTAGTTTTGGCTCCTAAACATGGCTCTGAAATTTCCTGACTCCTAACATGCAACTTCTACTATCATATCTAAGTTTGGCTACTGCTGTTATAAATATTGGCATGCTTGAGCAAATTCTTATTGCAACTCGAACATATGGGCCTACTGGCAGCCAAGCGATTAAAGCCACTGAACACTGGCAGTTCAGTCCAGGGTTCGAGTCCTAACAAACAGGCTGGCTGCATGGGCACTTTTGTGGTGTTTCCCATTGGTACTGTGGATGCGAACAAGTTTTTCCATGGGGCAACTCTTACTTTCCATGTAGTGCCTAATGGTGGAGTACGTAATTAAGAATGTCATCCTTTTTTATTGGAAGCATATGCTGAAGTATTATTAGCTGTTGGGAGTTTTTTTATAACCTAGGAGATAAAACTGGAAACACACATTTTAAGCTGCTGTATTTTACTTTGTTTTCTTAGAGCAGTGGTCTTCAAAGTTTGTCGATTCGTGAAACCCATAGAAGTATGAAATTTTTTCGGGGATGCCCATCTTGCCCTTAGAAAAATATATCTTAAAATAATATTTCAAGTAGATTGATATGTTATAGGTACTATATGTAAAGCCAATTAAAAGTACTGTATTTCTTATTAAAATTTTTCACCATAAAATTAATATTATTTAGTCATTACCAGCATTAACTCATCCTCCCCCCTGAGTGTGTTTGCATTTTTTTTTCCACAAACTATCAAAGCTGTTAGTGTTATCTGCAGTCACATTTCATATTTTGCATTTAATTTATTTCCATATTTTTATTGCCACATATGTTGAGGAAGATTATTCACTTAAATATGTTGTTCGAAATGGCATTGAAATGTTTATGAGTTATGTGTGTGAGAAACTTCTAGGTATTCTGTGTGAATTTGCAACCAAAAATTTAGGAGCTGCTTTTTCTTAAATTTAGATTTTAATGTTGAACCTGTTAATATGTTGATAAGCCATTTACTTTCCTTCATTCACAAACATCTATCATAGTATTAAAACAGATTTTTTATCCAGTAGTACTTCATTTTTCCTTCTGGGAGATACTCTCTTATATTGTTCAATTGAAAAGGATGCTCCTTTATATAATTTTAAGCACTGTCATCTAAATTCATTTAATTTTCCATTAGAAAACCATTTATATTTCAAAGCAATTGCATGTCAGTCTCTTTGATATACGATTGCCACTTGTTAAGTTTCAAAACCAGTGCATAAATTTTTTCTTTTAGTTTTTATATGTGCTTTCCATTCTTGAAGGAATATGTTTACTTTGTTTAGAATGGCAAACATGTCTGCTAAATAGGATAAACATAGCAACCAATATTTTATCATATAATTTTGGAGCACAGTCATGACTTCATTCATTTAAAAAAAAAGTCTGACTTTATTGTTTGATTCAATATCAGTTCAAGACTTTTCATTTCAATAATCAGCTGACTACTGAATATAAAAGAGTTCAAGGTCACTGGATAATTTTTCACATAATAAACCAAACAATCTTGAATTTAAGTCTCTTGACTTAAAATTTATCATTTTCACAGCATTATGTAAAACTTCCTTTAATCATTTGGTATTTGTTTTACCACAATGAGTATGTTTAATCTGTAATGCAGTTGAAATTATTCATGATATTGCTCCTTTGTTGGAACAATAACAATTTTGCTCCATGTATACAAATATGCGAACATTAATCTCAGCGTAGTTGATTTTCAATTGTATAAATGTTAATAAGCTCAAATATTTTTTTCTGTTTAGTTCTTTCTATAAGAGATTTCTTGGACTGTAGGACTTGAAGTACAGTGAAAAGTCTTTAATCCGGACTCGTTGGGACTTTGGCCACTCCGGATTATCGATTTTTCCGGATTATAGATCATCAGTTTAAATCTGGTAAGATGGCATGCAGAAATTATAAAATTAAAAATATGAAACCATAATTTGTGAAATAAAGAGGAATTATGATCTAAAGGGTATCAAAATTTACAAAAAAAAAAAGGCTTAATATTTATTTGTTTACTTTATGAAACATTTCTTTCAATGTGCGCATGCCTAAAGCATACATTACGCATAGTCGAAATTAGAAAATTGCAACCAGAAAACTGTTTGATTTGTATTCGTGATATTTATAATGATGAGGAATTTGATTTAAATCATATCAAAGACGGAGTACATCGAGATGAAATACTACATTTAGTAAGGAATTATAAGCCGAATAAAATAAAAACATCTGCCCTGAAGATTAGGATAGTGCTGACAGATCAACTTCCAGCCAATTGCACGCCGCGACGCTCCCCCTCCCCTCACAGAGCAGTGTGAAATTGATAAACAAAGGATCCTTTATCCATTTTTTGCAGCAATTCCACTTTTTGTTTGATGGACATCGAAACATGCTTTCCCTTTGTAGATCCTTTTTCAGCTCCAGCATCGGAAATTCTATTTGACATAATCGGAAGTTCCAACTTACTTTTATAAAATTGCTCTAACAGTCTGCAAAAAATAATAAGCCGGATCCAATTCGAAGATTAAAGAACAATGCAATCTGCAACATTAACTGAAATAGATAATTAGATAATTTTAGCTTAGCTTATACATTCCGTTATACATTAAACGTGCATGCGTAAACTTATTATGCACATGTGTAAAGGTATTACGCACATGCGTCGATGCATGCGCAGAAAGTTTATAGCTTTGAGATCCGGATTATGGGTGTCCGGATTAACGACTTTTGACTGTATAATGAACCAAGACTATCAAAATGGCAAAACCATCAACATGGTAAATTGAGATGGAAATTTAAACAAAATATTAATTCTTTTTCACAAAAATGGGGCACTGTCTCAATTCATTACCTAATGGTAGTATCAGGGACTGGCAGGTTACCAGTTTGTTTTAAGGTATTTTTAGAGTCATTGGGTTTCTTGATACAGGAGACATGAAGAAAAAAATGTGCAATGCCCTTGCTGGCATTTGAACTTTGGTCCTTTTGATTATGTGTCAGATGTGCATCCAGTTACACCACAAAGGCACGTAGAAAGGAGTGGAAAATATCTTATGTACTCTCCCTTTTGAAGGGCAACTGGAGATGAGAGGACCCAGTTGCCAAATGCTGACGGTGATGAATTATTGTCCATCACCTTTTAATTCAGGCACCATTTGTGGAGTCTTTCAGAATTTTTCTATGTCAGGAGACTAAGAAATTTGCATTGTCACTGGGATTCAAACTCTAGACATCCGATTTATGCAGTGGACATGCTTCAAGTTACACCAGGAAGGGAGAAAAACCCCTTATAAATTTTTTATCAAAGTTGCAGGATATGACATCTTTAATACACTGCTTTGTTAACTTTTCACTAATTGTTTGTGCCTTACCACCTTTACCAATTTTATAACTAATATGAAAAAAAGCTTCGAGAGAAATTTGGTTGTTTCAATACATGTTGCCATGTAGAATGCTTTTTTTTTTTTTTTTTTTGTTATTTGGTCCTTCACGTTTGCATTCAAAATATACAGTGTTTTTATTATGAAGATGTGGACGATAAGACTCCATACGTCTTTTTAATTTAGTAGGATTTAAGCTACAGTGTGTAATAATTGTTTCACATTCAACTCACAGTCTACTTCATTTCCTCTCCAAGTAAAGCAGATACTAAGTAGCTAGTTTCACACTTTCACCTTCTTATTAGAATACGAATATTCGTTTGAAGGAACTGATGGAAATACCCATGGATCATTTACTATTGATGATTATTGTTCAGTGTCAGTAGTTTCATTTATCGTCGTTGACACTGATCCCTGTTGTTCTCTTTTAGATTCTCTGTTCTTAATCACTTGTCATTCCAAAAACGGGATTAAAAGAAATAAAATATTTATAAAATGCAGCATATAAAATATGGGGCTGCAGAATATAAAAAGTCACAGTGATAATAAGAAAGAATCCAGCTTTTTCTTATTTAAGAGAATTATTTAAGAACTAATTTGACTAATAACAAAAAGTATTGCAAAGTATATATTTTCATTATTAGTAATAATTTAATTAAAAAATATCACCATATAAATATTATATAAATATCATATAATATATAAGCTACCAGAATCATTTCCAAAAACGAGGACATTCAAAACAGTTTTTACGTTTTAAGAGACATTGTTGATGCTAATGGTATGTATGAAAAAACATGCCTACCATCCACTAGAGCAGGGGGAAAAAAAAAAAAGCAGGTGCCGATGCAGTAGAAGCTCGCTTTTAGATCCTTGAATTTTTTCGCTATTTTGCATACACGTTGACTGAACAATTGAAAAACAGAGCTACTGTCCCATGTACATCACTGCTAATGTTGCACTACGGATGTCGTCAGCCCACACATGAAGCTTCTGAATAATTTAAAAAAATAACTAAATGTACCTTTATATTTTTTATTTAATGAACACTAGTCGACTAGTGCGAGTGCTTTATAGTTTTCTTTTTGAAATTTTATTTTGACTTGCTGAACTTTCAAGGTTTCACTGAATACTGTATTAAGACCATTGCATTAGAGCATCTGCAAACCTTTTGCAGCTGCTTTTTCAAATTCCTAATGTTACATATAATGTTACATATAACATCGCACACATCAGAGCGATGACTCAATTATTCAAATATTTCTATCAAGGATGTAAAAGTAATATCTATTTTGACATTGGAAAAGTTGAATTAGAATAATTGATTGATAATTTATTTGAATAATTGATTACAATAATTAATTGATAATTAGAATAATTGACTTTCATTGCCTGAAATGGCCATATTCGTACTTTTAAACGAAAACTGCTGTTTTAA